TTTTGCCTTTTTGGCATACTTTCAGGGTTTTGAGAATTTGAAAATCTGACCGTGATTTAGGTCAGATAATGCTATACAACAAGAATTCTTTCAGGTCAGCTACTTGCAAGTTCTGGATTAAAACAAAAAAAAATGAGTTTGCCAGTCTGGTCATGTTCATGATCTTCAGTCTCACTTTTAAACTTGATTATGAGTTGAGATTTTTGTAACTCCGGATACCTTCTTTCCTGTTTATGCCAGCATCATAGTATCAGACATCTAGAACCAAAAAAAAAAAAAAAAAAAGAAGAACTAAGTATTCATCAGCAAGCCAGATCACATACCTAACACGTCAAATTCCTGCAGCCGAGCTTCAAGGCTATCTTCATTTTCCTTCATCTCAGACAGAAACTGTTGTACGCTAGTTAAAGTGTCTACCATGCTCTGTTCCTTTGTCTCGAGCTCAGACCGAAACTGTCTAACACTGGTTATAGTGTCTACGATGCTCTGTTTTACCTTAGCCAACCAATGTGTGAAGGAGCAAGGTTGAGGGACTTTCTTGCCCTGCAAGTCTCTGGATTTGTGAGCTGTCTTCTCCGTCTGGCCGTGATGAGGTTCATGAAAGCTGCAGCTTTGGCTGACTCGAGCTCCCTTGGTTGTTCGAGTCTCACTTTCAGGAGGATCTTCTTCTTCAGCTATGGTTTCACGTCGTGGGGGACACAGCCTCATGCCCATTATCATATGTAGAAGTAATAACTGCATTTACTTAATGAATGCTCCATGCTCAGTCTCTCTCTTAGGTACACAAGTTTACTCACACGTTGAAACGTCTGCTGCCTTCTGTTTATCCTTCTGATTAACATCACAATTAACAAATCAACGTATTTCAGTGTTACAGGGAGAAAAGAAGCATGCCTTTAATTACTGCCACTTCCCTTGGACTGTGATGATCCTGCACAGGACACAAAAATTGGCAGAAGAGCACAAGAGCAAATGCACCTGGACAACTCGCATAGCCATTGGTTTGTGGAAACTATCTTTTTCCAAGACAGGTTATCTACAAACGATAAAGTCTACTTCTTTTCTATGAGCAACAACTGCGTTCCACTTCAAAGCATACAATGCTCCTTCACATATTAAAGCCGCCACATTACTATAAATAGACCTCTGATGATTTCACTGCTTCAGCCAGATACGTTTTGAGTTTTCTAGCACAGTTGATTAGAACATGTTCTGCCAACCTCTGTGATTCTCAGGGGAATTTGCTGCCAAGTTGAAAGAGTTAAGAAAAGAGCACCTTGGTGCATAGAGTTTGAACAGGTAACTGAGGGGTCAAGTAAAATAAAAATCTTTTCGTCTTTCTTGCTTCATGCATAGGTTAGTTTTAAGCAGCAAAAAAAACAAAAGTTTAGGAGATGATTCAATAACCAAGAACAAATAATGGGTCGAACTCTCTATGTTTTCTTCTCTGGTCTTTTGCCTCATCCTTTGTGTTGCTCAAACTATCTCAAAACACACTCAAGCACAATTAAATCCGCACACGCTTAAACAGAACAAAATTTCTAACACATATCAAAACATAACGAATGAGCAAAACCAACTTAAACGCAACAAAATTAAAACACAGCATAACAAACGAGCTAGCAACACGAGGTAAAGTTTCGCTGGTAAAGACCTAAAGTACAGGACAAAGACACAAGAAATATAAGAGCATAAAATACACGAGTTGGTGTTACTTACAGTGTGTAGATTCTTTCTTTTGTACATTATTTATCATTCCATAGGATGGTTTTCTCATTAATGCGTAATTTAGCATATACTACATTCTTCTTACACTCTATTGCCTCTAGTGATTTTATTTATCAATGCTATGTAACCAGAAGCCATTTTACGAAGTTTACCGAGACAAAAGATGTAAGGCTTTTGGCTTGATTTTTCTTTATTTGTTTCTATTATTATTTGAGAATGACACTTAAATAAGAATTTTTATGTCATGTGTTATTTACATAAGTGTCATGTTGAGGTGTCAATGTTAATGAGTATCTCAGAATTTTTTTAAAAGTGCATTAAGCTTATTAAACTAATTACTATTATGCCATTTTCAACTATAACAAAAATTTACATACTTTTATCTTATCTTCTATTAATTAATAACATTACTAAATTTAGATGTCACATATTATGCTGATGAAAACAAACATAAGTATATTTAAATTTAACGTTTCCTACAATGCTCATGCGATCATTACCGAAAATGTGTATCCAATATTAACCTATAGTACTTTGTTTATATATATATGCATAATTCACAAATGTTTATATATATTTAATTAGTATAATCTATATAATAAATATCAAATAACATATAAATAAAGCGTACTTATAACGTGTATCTAATTAAATATTCAATTAAATCATTTTAAAATAACAACCAACATGCTTTTAATTTAATGTAATTGTAACTATTATTTATAATTGCATAACCAGCGCATAGATTTACAATAATAAATATCAGCTAATATATTTGTAGTTGTAATTATATACATTATATTTAAATATTCGAATAAAAGAATCATGGTTAATATTTACTTCGTATAAAATGTGGATAATCATCTAGTATTGTCTTTAGAAATTAAATGGCTGATATACCAATTAGTGTAGTCCACTAAACACAAATGAGACATAACTTAATTATTTTGAAAGATATAGAAGATGACTCCAATCTCTTTTATTTTTATTTTTTTTTTGTATTTTATCAAAACTCACGTTTTGTCATCATTACGATTTATTAATGGAATGGCTGATTTCAATTTTTTTTTCACAAATTCAGTGTTTTAAAACTCAAAAAAAAATTAGAGTTTGTTTCATGTTTTTATAAAGGTCAGGGCTATTTTACCCATTTTTCGGATATCATGCAAGCATGAAGGCTCGGATTCCTGATGAGCCCTATTGAGCAAACATGTGGATCACGCGATTCGAGGTGGCCCAGCCTAGCTTGTTTGTATATAATTTCTTGCTTCCAAAACTTTTGTTATGATTTTCTGTTCGAGGTTTTTGTTAAACTTCAAACTAGAGGCTAGAGCAAAATTTCAAACACAAATCAAAACATAAGATATAAGCAAATTAAACACACTCAAATGTAAATAGAAAAAAAACTAAAACTTCACAAATTCATCTACTCATTTCTCTTCCAGTATCAAATTCTTTCTCTTAGTCTTTTTCTCGCAGCTATTAATCATTTTACTAGTCAAAGCTAATAGTATTCGATAATATATTAATGAAACAGGATTAAAAATAAACAAAAAATGTTTTAGTGAGTTGTATTGGTTACAATATCTTATAGAGAGGAATAAGCCATATGATGATGATCCAAATATTTGAGGATTATAACATGCTCATTTATATTAATTTTAAAAAAATCGAGATTATTAAAATATTTAACATATTTGTTCACACTATTTATATATTTTAAATATTTATTAAGTTTAAATATTTAAATTTTAGACTTATTTAATAAATATACAATAATATATTATTTTATCTCTATTATTAAATATTTAAATTAAATCTAAATTAATATCTGGGTTATTATTTTTGTAAGGATATAATAATAAATTATTTTTTAATTTTTGATAATATAACTCATATTTATGGAAATTTGTAACAAATATAAATTCAAAACTAAATTTTCAGATTTATATTAATATAAATAAAAATATATTATTTTATTAGTATTACACTAAATTAACTTATTTGATAAATTTAAATTAAAATCAATATTTTTATTTGACAACAGTTATTGTCGAATAATAGAAAATTAAATAAAAATTTGGTTTAGATACAAAACACCTTTTTCTTTTAACAGTATTGATGGAATCAAACCAACCCGTACAAAGTTATATGTGGATAAATATGCTGGCTAGATCCTATATATCCCAAAAATCACGTGAATGAAAGCCCAAAAATCATGATTCTTGAAGTTTTAGGCGATTTTTCTCTAAAGATAATAAAATATCAGGATATACGTAAGTTTGAGAAATTTACTCAGACTCGATATCGATATATAGGCTATTATTAAAAAAAGGAAATAGGGCAAACATATCTTACTAAAATTTGTAATTTAGTGAGGAGAGTTTTTTTCCCTTCTCTCTCTTTTCTCTTTCTTATCTTTCAGAGAGAGAGAGGGTGATTTTTCTCTCTAACTTCCGATTCAAGTGATCGGATTTTTTCTTCCGTATATATCGGATAATAAACTTCCGTTTAACGGAGAACAATTTCCGACTTTCGTTCGGATCTAATCTTCAGCATGTCGAATTTCAACGGGGATCGAGTCTGAGTTTCATCGATTGCTTGAAGTTTCAATCACTGAGGTTATCAATCTTCCCTTCCGATGTAAATCTCGGCAAGTATAAGGTGAAGTCTTCCTTTGTGAACGGAATTTCAAGTCGACGGGAATTTGTTCAATGTGTTTAGGCGACGATTGGACGATCCTAGTGCTTATTCCGATGATAATCAAGAAGATCTGATGATAAAATCATGCGGGAGATCAAGCAGTGGTACTAGAGCAAGCATCGCGAAAGTTTTTGCATAAAGTTCGACGGACGGGAGAGCCGACGGCGATGCATGACGATGAGCTTCTCACTATGACACATGTCTTTATTTAAGTAGAGTGTTCCACGTGTTTGTATGCATGTCTAATTTTGTAACGTTTGGGCCCTTAGAGCATGTATATCAGTGAACCCCTAAGAGAGGGTTCACCAGAATATAATAATATTTTTTTTTGTTTTAGTTTTGTTTTTTTTTTTTTAATTCGAAAATTATAATTTTCAACCAATCAGGATGCTTTATTTTGGGATGATACTATCTCTTTAATATTAAGATCTTTTGTTTCAAAAACTGTGCCATGAACCCTTCTTGATCCCCTAATGTACATGCTCTTAATAGGCCTTCTTGTACCATTGTTCTAGAAAAAGTAAAAGTAAAACCAAACGAGCTTCGGAAACACAAATTTGTAAACAACTATGAGATCGTCTTTATGTCTTGCCGACAAGGAGGAGGAGGAGGAGATGATCCTAACCGTGGCCTAACCGGAGATCTCTGAAGAACCGTTGATCGAGATTCTGACAAGATTACCGGAGATCTTGGACACGACCCTGTTAACGATGAGTACAAAATGCTTAGCATAGTTAGGATTTTCGTTAAGGAAGAGAGAGTAGTGAGATCAGAACATCAAGTGTTGGTACTTGGAGCTGGAGCTTCATGGAGAAAGATTCAATGCCACATTCCTCATGGTCCTTCCTCGGAAGAAATAACAATCAACGGTGTAATGTATTATAAAGCTACTCTTGATGCAGACAGATGCGTGGTTATGAGTTTCGACTTGTGTTCTGAGGAGTTTAATTTGATTGAATTGCCTAATGAGCTTCGGTCCGGTTGGTACTGGTATTGGAACAGTTTCATAAACCACAAAGGAAAATTAGCTTTGTTAAGTTATTATAGACTTAGTGGTGATACGTGTGATGAAGTTACTTCTGCAATTTGGGTTCTTGAAGATGCTAAGGAGAGTCAATGGTTAGACAAGAAGACTTTTGTTTTCCCTGTTTCTCAGAATTTCATCATTACCAATCAACAAAGGATGGGTGGCACTAGTGGTACGGTTTGGATCCCAGAGGGAAAAATCGAGCGGAATCAACCCACACGTTTTTTCATTTATGATCTGGAGAGGAATGATTCAACACAAGGCATTGAGATCAGGCCTTTTCATGATAGCTTTAAGACGACCAATTGGTTGCAGGCATATTTGTGGGATGATATTGAAAACATCATGTATTTGGAAATCTAGATACAGTTAGTTGTCTTTTCTATACATTCCCAAGTAAGTGCTAGGTTCGTCCCTGCGTACAACAACGCGGGATAATGATTTTGGTTTTGTGATATTTATTTTTTATAAGACAATGGATTATAAAAGTTATATTAATTGTCGTTAATCTCTAGTGTATATTTGTGGAAAAGGAGTATGGATTAGTCTACTACTGATATCATAGTAACTGAACATATTACATAAATGTTCAGTTACCTTTTTATACATTTTGGTTGCGTATACAGAGTGAAGCATTGGTTTTTTGCCTTTTTGGCATACTTTTCGAAAATCTGACTGTATTTCGAAAATCTGACTGTCTACCATGCTCTGTTCCTTTGTCATGAGCTCAGACCGAAACTATCCTACACTGGTTATAGTGTCTACGATGCTCTGTTTCACTTTAGCCAGCTGGTTGAAGGACTTTCTTGCACTGCAAGCCTCTAGATTTGTGAGCTGTCTTCCCGTCTGGCCGTGATGAGCTTCATGAAAGCTGCAGCTTTCACCGACTCGAGCTCGCTTGAGGGTCTGAGTCTCTTCTTCTTCAGCTACTGTTTCATGTTGCGGGGACACAGCCTCATCTCCATTTGCATTTGTAGAAGTAATAGCTGCGTTGACAGATCAATCATGAGGAAGTGAACTTAATGAATGCTCCAGGCTTAGTCTCTCTCTTAGGTGCTCAGAGTCACAGGTAGAAATTCTGCTGCCTTCATTTTATCTTTCTGATTGGAAAAATAACATCACAATTAAACAATCTACTTCCAACATAAAAGAGTAAGACATTCCTTTTTCCTACATAGCAACAAATTTCAGTGTTGCAGGGAGAAAAGAAGCATGCCTTTATTGCCACTTCCTTTGTGCCTTGACGAAGAAGAATAAAAGCGTGTCTCTAGGAACAAAAATTAAAATGAAAGCAGGAAAAGGGTCGTGGGAAGAAGCAAAGAGGAACAGGCCAAGGAGGAAAAGGGCGCATGGTTTTAAACACTACAAAAAAAGTGATTTTACATCATTATATTTTATATTTGCATCAGTTATAAGTAATGTTAACGAATTTTACATCATTTAAACAAGTGATTTTAAAAGTGGTGATGCAAATATTTACATCAGTTGTGCAAATATTTTACATCAGTTTAAGCAAATGATGTAAATATTTACATCAATTAAGCAAATAATATAAATATTTGCATCAATTATTATAATTGATATTAATTTATATCGGTAGCAAAAAAAATGATGTTAAAGATTTGCATCAATTAATATAAGTGATGGTAATGTTATATAATAATTATCGATTTAAAAATATATATATAATAATTTAAAATTCGTATTAAATTATTTAAATTATTTTAATATTAGTTTATAATTATTTTATAAATAATTTAAACTTTCACTTATGAAAATACATCAATATTAATTTTTATAGTTATTTATAAGAAACCAAACTCCTCACCTCCTCTCTTAGTTGTCGATGTGGGATAAAACATCAAAGTTAATTAAAAATTTATTAACATCAATTTTTTATTGATGTAATATTTGTACCATTTTTGTAAATGATGTTAACAAAAAAAATGTAGTTACATCAATTATCTAAGTGATGTGCATTCATATTTTTGTATCACTTTTCATAAAGTAATATAAATTAATAAAAATTTGCATCATTTATTATTGAATTAATGTTAAATTAACTAATGGTAAAATCAGTTACATAATTGATGTTAAATTACATATTTTTATATTAGTTGATAATAAGTGATTTAAAATTATATCATTTTATTTTAATGATACAAATTAAGTGATGTAATACACACTTTTTTGTAGTGAACGTAGGGCTGCGCAGGCATAATTACTTGTTCTTTGGTTTGTACCCGTTACTTGCCTTCAGTGGCGGAACTAGACTTAGTTTTTAGGAGGTGCAACCATAAATAAGAATGGTATCTCAAAGATTGAACTCAAACAATGAGTGTCAAACTTAGACTAAATAAACTAAATTGAGCTAAAAAACCTTTAGTTACACACAACAAAATTTGTAAAATATAAATATATCGGGTGTCGGATGATACACTATTCTTTAACGTGAGTCCGCCATTGCTTGCCTTGTGCCTGACTTGAAAAATTAAGTACTTGAAGTGGTTAAGTGGAGCCGTGGGGATATCAAATCAACAAATTTTATTTGTCCCGTTGTTTATTACTCGTTATTTGTTCCGTTGCTTGTTACTCGTTATTTGTTCCGTTACTTGTTACTCCTTATTTGTTAAAAGAAATATTGTTACCCTGTTAAAAAATATATAGATATTGTGACCCATTAAAAACTATTTGTTAACCGTTTTTTGTTTAAATAAACAAACTAATATTAAAACCCAAAAACTTAATCAAAAGCAACTATTATATTTTTTAAAGAAGAGCTTTACTTTGGCAAATAATGGACTTTAGCAAGTAACATTAGTAATTTGTTTCAAATTCAAGTTATGAATTTTGGCAAGTAAGAAGCGGGGTTAAATAACTTGCGGATATCCAATTTTTCCGGGTATACATCAAGTGCCAAATTAAATTATTTGAACAGGCCAAGCTGGAAAGCAAGTACCTTCATATTAATCTTAAACCAAAGTCCATAGTTGAAGCATGAGCTTTGTCGTACTCTTATCTAGTCTCTAGATGTCCATGTCCCTAAACGGGAGATTTTTTTAACAACATTCCTCTTATCCAGTCTCTACACACAACTTAATGATAGGTTACGCCTTCACCGTTGATAACTTGTCCTATGCGATATGCAACATAGTTACCATTATCAGCTTCTCCTAATATTCTCAAAGCCGCCTCTGGAGTGACCACCATTACCATCCCAATTCCCAAATTAAGCGTTCTTCTCATCTCACTGTCTTCTACATTCCCATACTGAATAATAAAAAAAAAACGATAAATTCTCTATAAATTAATAACAAAACTAAATTTGGGATTGGAAAATTTTTTAGTTTATATAGAGTATTAATTTTGGAGAGACTGTTTTGAATGCATGTGATATATGATTTTTTTAATTACCTTTTGGATAAAATTGAACAAAGGTGGAACTTCCCACGCATCAGTGTGAATAACTGCACCCAAACCATCCGGTAATACTCGAGGAATGTTGTCGGTGAAACCTCCGCCTGTTATATGAGCCATACCATTCACTCCTCCTTTGTTGATTATATCAAGTACCTGTGCATGTGCATAATATTAGGAATGGTACAAAATTGGCTAATGAAAACAAGTGTTAGACATTTGATAATGAAATTTTTTGTTACAAACAAACAAACCTGTTTCACATAAATGACCGTAGGTGCCATTAGAGCTTCACCAAGGGAAATTGATCCACCTGGAAGCTGATCTTTCAGCGAAAACCCGCTTTGAGCCACAACCCTGAGAATGATTCCATTGAATATAGTCAAAAATAGTTTAGTGCCAAACAAAATACATTATCACTTAACATACCTTCTTACTAAAGAAAAACCATTTGAATGAAGGCCACTAGAAGGAAGACCAATAAGAACATTTCCAGGCATTATGTTTTTCCCATCTATAACAGAATCTTTCTTCACTATGCCAAGTGCACACCCAACAAGATCGTATTCACCCTCAGCATAAAAGCCAGGCATCTCTGCAGTCTAAAAACAAACCGAAAAATCAGTAATTGTCAAAGAGCTGGAATTAGGGTCTAACTGTAAGAAATACCTCTCCTCCTATGAGGCCATACTCACAGCCGGATTGCTGACAACCATCAACAATCCCTTTAATGACCTACAAACACAAAGCATAATGTTTGATTAACATCATTATCATCAACTCCCTAGAGCAAGAAAGATCAAAGAAACGAATGATTACCTTTTCTGCAAGGTCTACATCGAGATGACTAGTACCAAAGTAATCAAGGAAACCCAGAGGCCTTGCACCACAAGTAACAATATCATTCACACTCATAGCGACCTGAAACCAAAGTATAAACTTAAAATTTATGCGTGTGTGTTTAATTTGGGGGAGTAAAGAAATAAAATAAAATAAAAACACACAAAAAAGTTACCAAGTCGATTCCAACAGTTTCATGAATTCCGGTTTCAAATGCCAATTTAAGTTTAGTCCCTACACCATCCATACCAAGTACGAGATAAGAATCGCCTGCTCAAACAAAACACACTCATTAGCACGATCGAACACGAAAGGTCTGAACATTCAGGTGCAGTTTTGTAATATACATACCTAGTGGAATGCGACCACTGAATCCGCCGATCTCAGGAGCCATCTTTGCAATTCGTCTAATGAGATCACTCCCAGCATCGATATCCACACCGGAATCTTTGTACGTGAGACCATCTTTCTTCGACATGGATAAAACACAAGATGCCCTTGTTGTTCTCTTCGACTGAGGAAAGGCGATCGAGAAAGGTTTCCGTGACGACGCAATGGAGGACAAACGGTGTCCATTGATGACGGAATTGGCAGTGTCAAGGGATGAAAAGGAAGTCCGCATAATCTGGGATTCCATGGCCTGAACTAGAAAACGATTGGGGTAAAAACTTTGAAGCCAACAAGAAAATAATAAACGAGGTCTAACAATCTGCCAATCAAGATTTGACAAGGTTGAGATAAAAACGCACAAGAGATAAGCCTGAGAGACTCAATAGTCAAAAAACCCTAGTAACCCTTATACATTATATTTCCTATTTTCTCACTAATAACAATAAACTTATAAAATTTACAAATTAACCCGGGCCTAACTATTTAATTTTTCCCATAACTTTCATAATTTATGATATTGTTTAGTAGATCATTAAAATTTTAAGCTTCGTATGTTCTTCATCTCCAGACTTTTACTAGATTACCTCAAATCTTATTAAAAATTACTAGATTATCTGCATTTCCAGACTTTTACTAGAATAACTATAATTTTATGTTAAAAAGACCCTCAAAGCGTAATTTGTTTTGCTAATCACATGTTTGCCATTTCTGAGATTCTATGCTGACAGAGATAAATAAATCTGTCGAATAGGTAACTAAACATTTCATAACTTATAGTTAAATCTGTTGTTATTTATCTAGTGAAAATTCCTCAGACTAGCCTTTAAGGTTAATGTATTGACAAACTTAGCCTAACATATTCATCAGCTTACTAGACTAACCTTAGAAAGTTGGTGTTATACCATTTTGTCCAAATAATCAATATTATTACCAGATTGCCATTCTATTTTAAAAAAAAAACTTCAAATTATATACATAATAACATTTTCATATTAAATCATATACATACGTATATACATGTATATACACGTATATACACATACATTTCCCTAATTCTAAAAATAGAAATTACAACACAAAAAAACTCAAAACCCTAATTCCGGCGGCGACGATAGAGGCGATTCGGCGACTAGAGAGGCGATTCAGGGTTTTGGGAGACGAAGGAGGCGATTTCGGCGGCGACGAAAGTTTTTTCGGCCACTCATCTGGTAAGTGTTTCACATCTGGGTTAATTCTCGTCTCGAACAAGTTTTTGTCTTGGGTTTTCGGGGTTATGTCGAAAACTGTTTTCGCCTTTAGTCGCGACGGTTGTGTTTGGGTTTCAACGAGGGTTTCGCGCTAACGGCGAAAACGACAGAAGACGGCGGAAGAGAAATCCATCTGTTCACATGATTTTACTCAGAAATCGTAACCCTTTTCTTATTTTTTTTCAGGGAAGTATTATTATCGGCGGTTTCCGTCTTTCGAGAACGGTTTCCAGAGACCCTACACGATTTCCAGAGACCCTACACGATTTCCGGCGAGTAATTTCTGTTCGTAGTGGTTCGGTTCTAATTTGTTTTTGGTAGACTTTTCAGTAGTTGTTGCATTTGGTCGATTTGTATATGCTAAACGGTAGATTTGTTCGTGTTTAACGGAGTTGTTTTCTATGTGAGGTAGATTTGTTTTCGTTTCATTGTCTTCTTTGAATAATCAAAGTATTGTTGGTAGAGTTATTGTTGAGATTGTATTGGTAGATTTATGTATTGTTGGTTGATTTATACCATGTGTGGTAGACTTGTGGTCGTATTTGGTAGAGTTATATGTGATAGTTGCTCCCGGGTTTGGTAGATTTTATATTATAGTTGCTTTCGAGTTTGGTAGACATGTTCATGGTAGATTTGTTTTCATATGTGGTGAGTAATTTGTGTTTGTTTGGTAGACTTATGTATTCTATATTTGCGTTCTCGCTTTGTGTGTGGTAGATTTATGTATTTATTTGGTAGATTTGTGTTCTATATTTTCTTTCATTTGTGGTAGATTTGTGTTCGTTTTGGTAGATTTGTAAATGTTTTGTGCTAGGTATTCTATAGTTGCTGTCGAGTTTGGTAGATATGTGTTTGTTCATGGTAGATTTGTTTTGATGTGTGGTAGATTTGTAAGATTTTAATGTTTTTATTTGTTTGCAGACATGGCTTCAGCTAGCGGCTCAAAGGATTATCCCCAAAGATTGTACCCGGAAGGCAAATCTCCTTTGCTGAAGAAGAGTTGTCATCATAACTGCAAGCTTCATGAGTTCATCATGATGATCAGGGATCACCTTGGGGAATAAATTTACAACGACATCATGAATAATTCTCAAGTTGGCGTACTACTGAAGCTTGCATTGACTTCGTTCATATGGAGTGCTAAAACGGTTCAGTATTTCGTGAGCAACCAACTGAAGGTGGATAAGAATCATGTTCTGGACTCTTATTGGAGGTCGCCCGGTTAGATTTTCACTCTTCGAGTATGCTGAAATCACGGGGCTAAACTGTGACCCAATTGATCCCAATGACAAGTTGGAAATAGATCACACCGAATTTTGGGCTGAGATTGGAGTGAGAGGTGGGGAATGCCCTAATTGGAATGAGTTAGAAGCTCGGATGAAAACTTGCCAAGCATGGACTTATGAGAAGAAGAAGATGTTGGCGTTGCTTTTCCTTTTGCATGTTGGCGTATTGGGACTTCACCGCAACAGTCGAATCCCGTTGGCTTTAGCCAAAACAGTTATGGATGAAGCAACTTTTGAGAAACAGCCGTGAGGTCGTTATGGATTCCATGAACTAATTTATTCCATCAAGATTGCTAATTTGGGGGGAGCACGATACACTCTCCACGGATGTGTACAGGCAATACTTGTTTGGGGTTATGAGTGCATCCCTATATTAGCTGAGAGAGCAGGGAAAATACGCCCCGATGTAGATGACTCGGTTGTTCCTCTTCATAGGTGGACTTCATCACGGTGTCGTTATGTTTTCGAGACTCTTTTGGAGATGGATAAGAGTGAAACCGAGGACCACAAGGTACTTGTACCTTAGCAGCTAGTTGGTAGAGTTTTTTATAATAGCTTAGTGTTTGGTAGAGTTATTTATTATACAACAATTTGTGGTAGAGTTATTAAATGTGTTAGCATTTTACATTTGGTAGAGTTTTTACATTTTGGTAGAGTTTTTACATTTTGGTAGAGTTTTTACATTTGGTAGATATGTTACATTTTGGTAGAGTTTTTTTCAGTTTGGTAGATTTATTAATATCATGGTAGATTTATTAATATCATTTTCTATGGCATGGCATGTTCGGGTTAGACATCTAATGGTGGTGAAGCCCTTGGAGGAAATATATCCTGTCTGGGAAGGTGAACCCCGACGTGTAGACGTCGATATAAAGGTGCATAACATGATATGCGATATTCTGGATGGAAGCTTGGATGAGGGGTTCTGGAAATCTCCCAAAAACGTAGGTGGCGATGCAACAGGTGGTGATGCAACAGTTCAGACGCCGAAACAGTCAAAGAGGAAGTTGGAAACTCCACGCGTGGAGAAGAAAAAGAAAGAAAAGGTGAAAGAGGCTGAAGCAACAGATTCAACTCCGAGAAGCAAAAGGAGAAGGGAAAGAGAGGCAAGGAAAGAAGAGACGAAGCACGAGACCAAGGAGAAAAAGAAACGTAAGAAGGAGGATGAGGAAGAAGATGATGATTTTAACTCGCCGGTGAAGCTACTGAAGGATGGAATTGAAGAAAAGAGAAAGGAGAAAAGGGAGAGAAAAGAAAGAAAGGAGAAGGAGAGAGAGAAGGAAAGAAAGGAGAAGGAGAGAGAAAAGAAAAGAGAGAACAAGAGCAAGGAAAAAGAGCCGACTGTGGAGAAGGAGGATAGGACGAATGAGATCCTCATGGCAATTAATGGTTTATCAACGACGGTTGCATTGCTAAACAGCAATGTCAGCAGTGCTGTAATTCGTATAGACCACCTGGATAAGAGGATTGCCGTTATTGAGGATAAACATGAAGAGAAAGATGAGGCTATGGAGAATTCTGGGAACCAGGTTGACAACAACCATGTTGACAATGATGAGAATGCCGGAGATGCAGAATCCAAAACCTCACCTAAAACCCCTAAAGAAAAAGCATCTCCTCCAGCAGCAGCGCCAGTAGTAGGAACGTCAACGGGAGGTGGAGCAGGAACGGGAACGGGAGCTGTGGAAAAGGATCCGGTACGCAAGTCTCTCTTCTAATATCAGTAACTTAGCAAAAGTTACTGGAGACAACATTCAACTATGTTAAAACATATCGTTTTCCTTTATGGTAGATTTGTACGAAAATACTTTTTTACTTTGGTAGACTTGTATTGATGGTTTTTTTTAAAACTTTTTCTGCACAGTAGACTTTTAATGTTTTCTTGGAATACAAGATTAACTTATGTGGTAGATTTTTACATAGTTTGGCAGTGATATTTATATATTAGGTAGATTTATAATTAATTCGGTAGATTTTTAGGTATATTTAGTTATGTTAATATTTGGTTTGACTGATGTGAAATTACTATACATGCGAAGCAGCCGTGGATGATGGAGATGCAGGAAACATCAGAGCCAGGTTTTCCTGTTGCAAGAGTTGTTAGAACCCCAGCGTCGAGAGGAAAGACTGTAACCAAAGTGAAAAAAGAACCTGCTGATCCTAAAGAGAAGAATCAATCAGGCACAAAGTCAAAACCTGATTTAAAAGACAAAAACGAAGAAACCCAGATAATCAATATAAGCGATGTTTCACGGCCAGTACAGTCTAGACGAGTACAGATCCCTTCCCTGCAAGACGAAGACGACTTAGCGATTGAAGCTATGAAGAAACGCTTAGATAAGCTGGTGGAACATGCAACAAATCCACCTGCTGAGAAGAAAAAAAAGGGGACGCAGCCTTGCACCTACCCAGGTTTCACCCTACCTTGGTAACTCAGTGGTGAGACACATCATGGACCCAGCAGGTCCCCCTCCTGGGAGGTATGATCCTTTTGAAGCGGTGGACAGTCGATTACTGGATAATCTAACCCGCTACGTAGCTTTTGAAGCGTAAGTCAGCTTTAAACTTCCATGGTAGACTTACTTGTTTGATTTGGTAGACCTATTTGTTTTATATAGTAGACTTATTAGGTATGTTGGTAGACTTACTTCGGAGTCTGGTATGTCTATGTCATTTTTCAGGGAAAAACAGTTGGCGAGTCCATATGCAGGAGG